AAATGAAATCCTTTAGCAAAAGAAAAAACAAATAATCTGAAACCTTTAACAATGATAAGTACACAAATTTAGTTATGTATGCATAAATATAACTGAATGACAATCACACAGTAAGAATAAAATATTTACTCAATTAAAAACAATATTTACATTATGTACATTTCACTCTCAGGGAATGGATGCTAGATCAAGTTCGTCCCTGTAGCTGAATAAGAAATCCTAGGCATATTGATCCTCACACCTTCCTTTCATTTTACCATGGCATAGCTTAACTGAAGGGGTTGAGTTAACAGGTAATAGAAGAACAACTGGCTTACTGAGAAAACAAGATAGCCAGAAGAGATAAAAATTTGATCTTAGATAGCAAAAGTCCAGATGGAAAATATAAAATTAACCAAATTCTTATTAGCCAGAAGTTTAGCTAGGTGTGTGGATAGTAAAATATTGTAACTTTCCATTTACAAATCTGCCCTGAGCTAAAATCACATTTCAGCTGCAGAGTAATATATCTATCACGTTGGTGAAGTTAAATCTCTCAGGTTTCATGTTTTCGCATGCCCTATATCGCTTATAGAACATGCATCCCTAACACATGTGGAGGGCTTGACCAATACATATAGCTGTGGTGCCTACTGCTATCATTCCTGTAGCAACAGCTTACCCTTTAATGCAGTTCCATTCCCTCCACCACATTATGTTTGTTGCATGAAGAGAGCCATGTTTTCCAGTATGAAATGAATATAAATTTTAGACTGCAGAAACTGGTTCCTACACACACACAAGCTAACCCAGGTTAGTGGACACTAACCTCTAAATTCTGACTGTGAGGATCAGCTAACATTTACATTGTATTTCTCTAGGGAACTCTTCTAGATGCAATTTTAGTACTATTCACATGCAATTACAAAGTTTCACTACATGGGTGTTACTCTCTGTCTTTAGCTGTACACTCACATTCTGCATTGTCATACATCTTTGACTACACTGAATGACAAACACACAGCTAGGTAAGAAAATATTCATTAAAACTATGTGTTTATGAAAAAATGTCAATCACCATCACTAAAAATATTCTATCACAACCAAATAAAACACTAGTTACACAAAGATAATATTTGGCATGTTATCCAACCTACTGTCTGTGAATTTCATCTACTATTGATAGTTTTACCTACTCATAAATAATTTGAACACATCCAATCAAAATATCTTGTTCTACTCTTACAAAAAAAAACACAAAAAAACACCAGGTAAAACTGTGTCTTCTCTCAGATTTAGTGTGAGTTTCTTTGTTATTCTTTTATCTTCCATTAACATTCACTACCTGGAAAATATTTCATTGTAAAAATTAAAACATAAAGCATTAATGAAAATACCTGTGACGATCAAACACCTATCACTTGATATATGGAAGATATCTCTCGATGAAACTCTACTTAATAAGTAAAAAAGAAAGGGTTGCAATGCCTTTTCAACTGAGTTTTCAAACTTCTAGCAACTATCATCAGTTGTGCAAGCTGTTGATGTACTAAGTATTACATCTACTCACTCCAGCTGTCCTAATTTATGGTAATCGAATGGTAGTCATAACGTTTGTTTGACATCACCAAATAACTTAGATTGCAAATAATGCTATTTCTTTTTAGTCAATGATTCTAAAAATAGTAACTGTTCTAACTTTTGCATGATAAACCAGCCCCAGTCATATCAATTAGAAGGCTGTTACTCACTTTTAGATCTGGCATCTGGCTCATTGTAAACAGCTAAAGTAGCACTTTAAGCTATTTTTCCTCGTTCTCGTGGTCTGTGTAAAATTAAAAAGTGTTCTCATCTTCCTCTGACTCATTAATATCTTCCTCTGATTCCTGGTCAAGCCAGTGCATGAGATGTTCATCAGTAATGTATGAACACAGCTGACTGACATGTATTACACACTTTGCTTTTTTCTGGAATGCTGTAACTCATGCATTAATGGACCAATTCATTGGAGCACAAGAAAAAGTCTCGTCAAGCAAGAACTGAGCTGTTTCTTTGACACTGGCATATCCCAAGGCCACATACAGCCTCCATACTGGCATATCCATTTTTTCACTGTTTTATAAAAGCACCTTTCCTGCCTTTCCTAGCTGTTGGTGCATGAAATGTCAACTAATGCAGACCTAATCACTCCAAGTCTTCTTGAGAACGTTGTAGGATGTATGCTCTAAAAAAAGGATCGTACATTACATGTACAGGGAACAGGACTTTCTGCTCATACATGAACATATTCAACAATCAACCTGTTGGTTTCTGATCAATTGTTTTATATGCCATCACGATGTAAGCTAAGTGTTTATCCCAGTCAGTTTATTAAAGATTTACAAATTTGGCGAGTACATGCTTGACAGTACATATTACCCATTCTGTTAAACCATCAGATTGGGGTGATAAGGTGAAGTTTGTATTTTCACCACACCATATGGATCTCTTCAGGTCCTGTTAACAGTGCTAGTAAATGCTCTGTTAGTGCATCAGTTGCAGACTGTGCTGATGTGTTGACCAATTGATAAGACTTAGCCCACTTTGTGAAATAATCAATAGCCACAAATATATACTGATAACCTTGTTCCACATCTGGAATGTCTGGCATTGCCTGGTTGTTAAGGCACTTGACTTGTAACCTGCAGGTCTGAATCCCATCACCAAATATGCTTGTTCTTTTAGCCATAGGGACATTATAATGTGCCACCAATCCTACTATTCATTGATAAAGAGTAACCCCAGAATTGTTGGTGAGTGGTGTTAACTAGATGCCTTCTCTCTAATCTACCTCTTAAGACTTAGGGACAGCTAGTGCAGGTAGCTCTCAGAATTCAGCAAAAAACCATCTCCACAAGTGGACCAGCAATATCCAGGACTATTCTCTGTAAGGAAGAATCAACAATTCTGTGCAAAAGCTTACCTTGTTTTGGTCTACTTTTTCTCTGGGTGGCAGACATATACAATGGTGTCATCAGAACTGAATATTTCGATTTGAATGCAACTAGAAGAACCTTGGTGCCCCCCCCCCAAGTCATTGTGTTACAAAGCCTGGGGAATTTTTTGCCTTAGAGCTCTGGAAACCACTAACTACAATACAGGCTGGGAGTCACCACTCTGTGGTTCATAGTAAAGGTAAAACACATCTTTCTGCAATCATAATTGCTCATACAAGTATCACAGGTTACTTGCATCCAGACAAGTCCACAGAATAATGTGAGATTCATCAAGATTTTTACTGAAAGATAATTCTGTATTCTTTCACTATCTGAGCTCAGAGTTACCTACAGCAACTAGTTTCCAGTGAAACACAATGGGGGTCATAACCTCAAGAGATCTCTTGACTGCCAGTAAAAAAAAAGAAGATAACCACTAACTTCTTGCAGTTATCTTTACCAAACCATGAGAAGATAAATGATGCTACTCTAGGTGAATGGCACAAAGCAATAGGTAGCTATGCAGTATGCAAACATACCATGTGTTTTATACCTTCTTATTTTAACACAGAATTTTTAAAATTTTCATTTATTCTGAACCTATGCAGTTTTAATATAACATGTGGTCCAGTACAATGTTGAGCTGACTTCATTTTAGATGCCTTTGTTCTTTGGAGTTATATATATACTGTTACACCTCTGTGTTCGTTTGTTAATTTTCCGTAAAAATTATTTCCGAAGAAACTTTAGCGATACAAGTCCTTTCTTAAATAAAACTAGTTTATTCTTTCTTAATACAACTTTGCAATACATTTAATTTCCACAGTCACACTATAACTTAAACAAACGCTATAATTCACAACGAACGATTCACGTGCTTGACTCATTGTCCGTCTCTATCTCTGTCTGCAATTCAATTCCATTCTTGCCGTCACTTCTTGGCGGTCTTATATACAAGAATACCGCACATCTAGTAAACTTGAGCATTCAAGAACCTTCGAGTAACAATACTTACTCCATCCACGTGACATATTGCTGTAACACTGAATGTTATGTATGAAGGTCAATGGCAGCAGTGCCCTTCACTAATATAGCAGATGATATCTAGAGGTTACAACCTGCTCTACATTGAATGAGAATGAAAGTCACATGTGTAGCACTAGTCACTATGTTTAAATCCAATACCTCCCTCTAAGTAAGAAACGCTAGATTTAAACAGTCTACACAGGATCTCAAGTGAATTGGTGGACAGGAAAACATTTTGATGGAAGAAAATCAGAGGTCAATTCACAAGTCCAGTAACAGGCAACCACCTAGTGTCCTAACGCAATTATGGACACTGTGTTTATCCATTAATTGAGTTTAATAAAGATTATTTTTGTTTAACATTGTGTCCAGTCTCTTTATTTAATCTGTGAGTAATCAGTTTAATTAAGTTTAGTCTTTTTTTGTAACTGATAAGTATATGAATGAAAAGGGCTGGCTTTAAATAATTTTTTATCACTTTAATTTAGTTTTGAAGATGGACCAATAGGTCCCATCTTGTCCCAAAATGTTATGTTATGTTATCCTGCCGATTCTCCCGTTATAAAGCGGACCTACCTAATATTCTTTCTCTTTGAGGAAATCAATTTAAACCCGAGAATACCACAGTCAGACTTTCTTGGCCAATAGTGTTATGTGGAAACTCCAAATACCTGTACAAATAAAGAATTTAAAAAAATTCTTGTATTAATACAAGGAGATAGAAAAAACATGGTATGCTAATATACCGTCCCCTGGTGGGCCAGCGGTAGGTTTACGTACTTACAACGCTCAAATCCGGGGCTCGATTCCCCACGTTGGACAAAGTGCAGGTAGCTTATTTCATTATATAGCTTTGCGCTAAAAATCAAACAAGCTTATATACAATATTGCGATAATAATCGATAAAGAGCAGATGGCTTTTTTTTCACATTCCTTTGTCTATTTCGGGTTCGAAGTCAGATGTGTATTGAAATAACATTTCAGATCTATCTTTTCTCTTCCACAAGTCTTCATAGGTCTTGCATTCAGTTATTGTTAGTTGAGCTGGTCAAATTGACAAATTAAGAAGAATGGGAGAGAGGGGTGGGGCATCTGCACTTTACGTGATTTTTATCACAATTATTTAGCGTAATGATTTCCTTAAGTTCTGATTGGTTAATGATGACGATAAAATTATTCAAGGGATGTTTTGCCAAATACTAGGTTAGACGATTTGCTGTCAAATGTAACGTGAGTATAATTAAATTATGAAAATACATTTGTGAAAGAAGGTAAGCATCTAGGATACGTTAAATGTTATTATACATTTATAGAACAGAATTTCATTAGACTTTCATAGTCTTTAATTTTCCATATTTAGATACGCCTTTTAGTTTTAGGGAGTTTTGCCAATTTTGAGATAAAACTACTCAAGTCTTTACTTAGTTAACTAACGTCACGTAATTTACAGTTATAAAGTGTGAGTACTGAAAATTAATACTAAGTGAAATTTGTAACCTAAAAGCTATTTTTTCACAATCGATATATCATATGAACTTTAGTAAAGAGAAAAATTACATTTACACAGTAGCTTAGTAAGTTTAACCAAAGGCAGGTTGAGGGCACCCAAAAATTTTCCAAACACAAAACATTGAAAATTGATACACAATGAACATTCTAAGTTTTAATACCTATAAGTGCATCTAATCTGTTTTGAAAGATTTAAAGCTACACGAAACACCGTCGTTTTTGACAACTATTCCATAAGTGAACCATGAAAACTAAGATAAACTCGTTTAAGAACAAGTTCACATTTAGGCTTCTTCCATAGTTTCTTTAAGCAGTGTATTCTAGATATTCAAGTCATAATTTCATTTTCTTCACTTCCAGGAAATAAGCAGATTGTATAATGATAGACCATCAACTCCCTCATTATTTTGAATCCTGAATTGATTACATAGTTTCTTCCATTCCATAGAGAATAATTTTAAGTGTTTTAACTTTAAGGCTACATACAGGTTTACAGTTTTGTTAAAAACCAGGATCATTTTACCACATTGTATCTTTCCTCTTTACTTTTTACAGCAAGTCAATATCCTTTATGTAGTAAAGAGAATAAAACTGCACACAAGATTCTAAAAAAGTATTCAAGTCAGAATAATGAACAGTGTAGCACTATTCAATAATGTGTTGAATTATATATATATATATATATATATATATATATATATGTTTGTGTGTGTGTGTAGCTTGTTTGATCAGAAGATATTAATAATTTTGATATAAAACCAGAATATCATTCTCACTCTGAAAGTCAGTAATTGAAAAAAATTTCATTGTTCATTCTTATGAAGTTTGAAAGTTTTCTATTTATATTCAGATCCTTTTTTTTGCTTAAGTGAAGCAAGGTGGTTAAATTTATCTCTAATGTAAAACAACCTAACTAACCAATCAACTTGTATAGTAATGCTAATGATAAGACCTAAGTGTTGTCACTGTCAAATTTTAGGGAACTTGAGTCAAAAAGCATTTTTTAAAAAATTAAAAGAGTATTTAATTCAATGAAAATAGAATAATGAAAAGCAAATGAGATAGAATCATTAAGAAGTGTTATATGTGAATAAAAAATAAAGCCATTAATCCTCCAGTAAAGTATAGAACAGATGTAATAAATAGTTAGTAAGTGCAAAGTTTATTTATAAATATCTTTGTGAAGATAAGATGCATTTCCCCTGTTTTATTCCAAGTAAAAGTGTAAGTTTCAACTTGTGTAACTTGTATGAAATAAAGTTAAAAATTGTGTCTTAAAAGTGTTGGTGTTTAGGATAGACCTTACCAGCATTATGTATCTCTGCTGGTTTGAATAAGAAAGTTGTAGAATGTAGGTGTTTTCTGTTCTTTTTTTAATTAGCTAGAATTTAGAAACTATGCTTAATAGTATATTGGACAGATCCTACTACGTTCAGTATCTCAAAGTATTAATTATTCAAATTTCATCTTTGATATGTATGATTTTACAGTGTTAATGATATAGAACTTGCTTAACAGACAAATGTTTAGTACAATTGAATGTGGTACTTTTTTGTAGTTGTTAAACATGATAAAAAAAAATATCTTGTAAGCTAAACTGGGTGAATTTATAAGAAATGTGAAAAAAATTATAAACCTAAATATTGGTTTACTTAGTAATGATGAAATTTTAAAATGAACTTACAGTAAATATAAATATTATTGAGCTTCCTGTTAGGATTTATTCTTGAGTTCTATATATGCTCAGTACCAGTACATTTTTATTATATAGGTTTACAGCTGGTGTTTTTTGTATTTAGGATCCTAGAATAGTATGGTGGCCTAAAGATACAATAGCTAAATATACTGAACAACAGCTGTTGTATGAGGCTTCATGTGTAGTACTAAAAATTGTAATAAAGATACAGCTGTATTTGGTTTTTATTGGTGTGCATTAGCTCTAGTTTACTGTTGGCTGCGGTGGTTAGAGGTAGCAGGCTGTCTTGTTACTTTCAAAATAATGGTTTGTGATCTACTTTTTGATTATTTTATATGCACACACTGTACATATAACTTGATATTTTCTAGAAAAAAAGAGCTTATTTATATGTGATTAGATGTGTACAGAATTACTATGAATGAAATCTATTCTTATTTTTAGAGATAGGTTACTTCTGTGTTTTATAATAAAATAAAAATGTAATTGGCTTTATAATTCTGACTGAGACCAGCAGCATGTGTGATTAAGTTCAATATTACATGTTAACTCCAAATGATACACAGTATCTAATAGGACCATAATAGTAAGTATTGTTTTTAAGTAATAAGTTAATAAGTACTTTATAAAAAGAAACAAAACATTAAGTATTATATGAACATAATCCAATAATATTATTAGCTAATAAGAATTGTCCAGGGACAACACATTTTTTCTGGTGTTAGTAGCTAATGTAAATTACTCTGTACAAGAGGTTAAACAAAATAAAATTTTTGGTTCATTTTTAGTTAAGTACACCTACTGTCTCAGTAATTAGTTTAATAACCCTTGTAATAGTTTTAAATTACTCTTTGCTGTAAATATATTTATCTTTTATATATATATATATACAGGCACAGGGTTTACTGTTGGTGGACCCACAGTCATCAGGAGCAGTTCACACTGTGGGGGATCTAAAAGCTTCCCCAAAAAAGGCACACTGCTTCATGATGCCTCTTACAATCATGTCTACAACTCTCATATGTGGCATGTTGTTATTGGTGTGTGCAGTGACTTATGTGGGTCCATTCTCTACCATTAAGAAGGTGGCAGAACTACAAAATGGGGATAAAGTTACACAAAGATCCTATGCAATAGTTTTTGATGGAGGTAGTACAGGAACACGAATTCATGTGTTCACCTTTTTGAACAGCACAGGTAAAAGATCTTGAACAGTACACCAAAACATAAATATATACTTTAATTGTAGGATAAAGATTAAAGTATATATGACATATGAAATTCTAATATGTTTGTTGTAATTTTTTTCTCTGGCATGAAATGTTCTTAATTCAAATAAGAGTAAAAGTTTTAACTTTTAGCAAAATATTCTGAAAACTTTTCAGTTGTTTCATTTTGCATGATATTCTGATCTAAAGTCACCATTGTAGATCGCAGTTCTATCTTTAGCATAGCTATTGTACAATGTCTTTAATGTGCTCTCTTTTGTCCTTCTCTTTTTTTTTTTTTTGAGAATTTTATTGCAGTCATATTATATTTTGAAAATATAATATGATAATATAATAGTGAGTTTTGCATGCATTATATTCATATCTTTTGTCATGTATTTTCTGTTATAATAGCCCTTTTGTTCATTCCACCTGAACTTTTTCAATGTTTTTTTCTCATGGTAGAAATATAAATATTGTTTATTGTACTGTTTGTTGTTGATAGTCCAATCTTCTCTTAGGGAGACTCCTGTTTTAGTTTACTCATGCCTGTGAGGTTGACCTTATATTATTAAAGTTCTGGACCCTTGGGTTTTCTTTGCTGTAGGATTAATGATTCCCAGTCTCATGACATGTAATTATACCTTTGGTAGAAAATACCTTTCATTTTGATTCTTATATTGTTAAGGTACTTTCTATATTTCCTTCTTAAGATTTTGCACGTGTAATGTATATTTACTCTGCTAGAATGAAAAAGGATTACCGGAATATCTCCATCCATGCAACTTTTGGTTTACTGTTAATATTAACAAGGAAGAGAGTTATTCTGCTTAGTGTCTGACATGGAGATATTTGTTGCATTCAAAGATTGATTTCTAATGGTATCTTGTTCTCATTTTAATTTTGTCAAATTGCAAATAGTCCACATCTGGAGTGTTCTATAAGTTTGTCTGTTTTTATTTCATGTTCACTTTCTGTTACCTTTTTGGCAATTATGAATATAAATATTGGACATCTTTTTCCCAGTTAATTTTTGACACTTATAATCTGATGTCTTATTGGAGGTCAGGCTTGTTTATAACAAATTTTTGTGACCTCTAATTTGTCTTCTCTGGTATGTCAGGTCACTTCCTTTTGTGTGTTTCTGAGACTTGCTTGGCAAATGAGATTTGAAAAAGTTTGTGGGTTTGTACTACATTTTGAAGAATTGTTTTGTATTAAACCCTCTTTTTTTGGTAGCCTAAGATAAGTATGCTCATTATCATTATACACTTAGTGTCCCAAGCGACTTACCCCTTCTCATTCATTGAGTTCTTGTCAGAATCCTGAGTTTCCAAGAAAATCACTATCATCAAGGTACCCAGAGGGTAGAGTGGTCAGAGAAACCTTTTGTAATTTGTTTATTACTCATATTCAAGACTATATATCATTAATTGTAACTATTATTGTATAATTTTATAGATCTTCTGGTAAAAGGTATTTTATAGATATTAGAATTTCCACATTGTCCCTTTGTCTTCCCCCCTTTAGAGGGCTGGTTGTGTGAGCATCCCTTGCTGATATTTAGCCATCGTGTACCCCATTTTGGTCCAAGAACATGGGTTCCTGATTTCTCTGATCTTGGGGTTCTTCAATTGCTCTTGTGTGATTTATCTTTTCAGTTTTAGTCATTATCTTTCCTCTCAGATTCTGTTACCTTTTTCAGCAGTATCACTTAGTCCTGTATACTGGATCAGAATGATTCTACATCTCACAAACATATGTAGAGGTACTTGGATGCCTAATCAAATTGTTCATGTCCTTTAAGTTCCTAATAACACTAAAACATTTGCATCTTATTA